CAATAGTTAATAAGACATCTATTAGCTCTTACTTTACAATTGATTCATAATCAGGTATTAAGAGTTGTTCATCATCATTTAATATATACAAACTACTTTACATATATGTCGCTACAAATCCTTGTACCTCCATTTTTCCATTATTAATTTTTTTGATGTAATTTGAAAACACCAGCTGCTCTTTACATTGTGAGAGTTTCATGATGGATGGATCAACAGAAATGGTCCAAAATAACTGAAATAAAATCTATTTACATTAACTTCCACTGAAATGTGAGGGTTTTTTTCTGTCTCCTAAAAGTTACCATTTTGGAGATATGATGTTAAAATTTGTCAAATTTTTAATTGATAATTGTTGCTTTTTAAAACAATCACTACAAACAAAACCTTAAATGGGTGACACCAGACAAAGAAAATGCGGTAACACTTTCTATGAATGTCACCTTTGTAAGCATCTAAAAATATATTCATAACATGTTATAATACATTCATAAGACATTATATATAGCATTTTATATAGCTATACATATTTATAAAAATGCACTATACGTTATAGACATGTTTATTATGCATTATGAATTGTTAATATAATACATTATAAGTACTGATCATTACAAATTATAAGAGCTCATAAGTCGTATTTGTCCACTCTAAGTAAAGTCAAGCGTACTGTACTAAAGCCTCTTCCAGTGTTAAGAGTGAGGCTTCACGTTGAAGTATTTACTGAAGGATTTACTGAAACACTAAAACATCACAGTAAAGCTCATTACAGGGTTCAAATGTCAGAGTTTAAACTAGAGCTGCCATCAGTGTTTTACCCAATGTGGGAAAGGTAATGTACACCACCGCTAGCTTGGTATTTGTCTTTACTTTATGCTCTCCGAGCTGGGACTGACTTCATTGGCACTGACATTATAACATGTGATTAATACTATTTATAATGCATTATATTAACAATTCATAATGTATAATAAACATGGCTATGAAGTATAATTCAGTGTAATTCTTTATTTATAAATATTCATAACCATATTTATAATGCCTTATGAATACATTATAACATGTTATAAATGTGTTTATAGATGCTTACAAAGGTGACATTCATAGAAAGTGTTACCGAAAATGCTAAATATTTAATTAGTTAATGATTAGCCAATTATGATATAACAGCTAATAGAAATGTTATAAACTATCACTTTTATGAAGCACAGATGCAGGTAGGAGTTTTAAATTGGAGGTGCTGAAATTTTAAGCTGCATATTTGTGATGTGAATGATGATGTCATGCAAAATGATTTGCTTTTTACATATGAATATTTTTGATAAATTACATTAAGTGTCTAATTATTACTTGATAAGCTATATGGCCAAAGGAATGTGGAGACAAATAAATCACACTTATATGAGTTTTTTGGACGTCCCCTTTAAAAACTATGGCCATTAATATCGAATTGCCCCCCTTTATGGCTCTGACAGCCTCCACCATTCTGGAAAGCTTTCTACAAGATGTTGGAGTGTCTTTGGGAATTTGTGCTCATTCAGTTAAAAGAGCATTTGTGAGGTCAGACACTAATGTTGGATCAGTGGGCCTGACTCACAATTGATGTCCCAGTTCATCCCAAAGGTATGCAGTGGGGGTGCGATCAGGGCTCTGTGCTGGACACTGGAGTTCCTCCACACCAAGCTGGTCAAGCCATGTCTTTATGGACCTTGCATTGTGCACTGGGGCTCAGTCATGCTGGAACAGGAAAGGCTCTTCCCCAAACTGTTCCCACAAAGTTGGAAGCGTACAATTGTCCAAAATGTTTTGGTCTGCTGAAGCACTAAGATTTACCTTCACTGGAACTAAGGGGTGCAAACCCTGAAAAACAGCCCCATCCCAATATCCTTCCTCCATCAAACTTTACTGTTGGCACAATACAGTCGAGCAGGTTACATTCTCCTGGCATTCGCCAACCCAGATTCATCCATCAGACTGCCAGATAGAGAAGTGTGACTCCACTCCATCCAACGACTGGCATTGCGCATAGTGATCCTGGGTTTGTGTGCAGCTACTCTGTCATGAAATCCCATATCATGAAGGTTATGATGCTCAGTTCTTTTGCTCTGACCTCATGACAGGTTAAGTCACACAGTACATGTTTACTTTAGTTTGCTTCATTGACATAAAACATTGACATACAGCATACAAATGTGTTCAGTGCAAAACCCTAAGCTTCAGTTGTTCTAAACATAATATTAACATTTTTGATTAAAGGTGCCTTACATTCAAAATGCACTCTATTATTACACCTGGTAGCCTTGATTCTTCAGACTCCAGACGATTAAACTGTGCTGGTGTTCAGACTCTGAAAGACTGAATCTGATTGGTGAGTGGAGGAGTCAGATAGTCTGAATCTGACTGATGAGTATAGGAGTCTGATAGACTACATCTGATTGGTTAGTGGAGGAGTCTGTTATACTACATTTGATTGGGGGGGGGGCATGTGGTAGACTGAATCTGATTGGTGAATGGTGAGTGAAATTACCCTTTTAAGGAAGACAAATAGCCTTTATTACACACTGTACAGAAGGTCAGTGGAATGTAGAATATGTTTCACATTTCATGACTACAATGGGTTTTGAACTGATGCATGAAAATGTAACCATATTAAAGGTCAGTACAGGTTAATTATTCATTTACATTAATAAGCCTTTGAACTCCAAAGAGCTGTAAGCAAGTCCAATCAAAATCAGTCTTGTACATAATTAACAGAACTTTCTTTGTATTTACTGAGTAATTCAGTTATATGCTTTGTGTTTGATGTAAAAATACATAATGAGTGCATAAGTTAAACTACAGTTGATGTTTATATTTAATTAAATATACTTAAATTTTCTATATTTATACTATATACATAAAACAAAAAACACACAAAAAAACTGTATTTATCAAACAGATTACAAACCTCACAGAACCTCATTTTTAAGCATGCCAAACAAAGCTGAATATTAATTTGTCGTCTATAATCACAATTAATAAAACCTTTCCCATATAATATTATCCAAAACAAATAGTAACACATTTACACACTTCCAGAAGTAAATGTTTCTTTGTGTGAAAGGAAAATATACCTTTATGTATCTCATTTTGGTAGAAATGCATGAACATACAAGATTAAATTGAAAACTTAGCTGCTTCTGCTAATGTTTGACTGTAGCAAAGTCACATGAGTCCTTATCATTACTAAAGTCTGCTCTGGTAACAGCATCACTAGCTCTGCCTAACTTCTTGCTGAACTTCACTGTTGCGTATGTTGGGCCTTCCGTAGAAGTTCCAGCTGAATGTTGAGTGCCACTTGCTGAGATATCAGAGAGAATTTTAGGTAACTGCGCTGTGGAGCAGGTGACCTGATCAGGAGAGTTTGATGGTGACTGAGCAGGAGAATAAACAAAATTTGAGAAATCACAGTTTGAGGGTAACTGAACATTTTCATAATCAGTTTGAGAAAGTTCTGAGGGGTTTGTGGGTAACTGGAAATTTTCATAATGAGTTTGAGAAGGTTCTGAGGGGTTTGTGGGTAACTGGACATTTTCATAATCAGTTTGAGAAGGTTCTGAGGGGTTTGTGGGTAACTGGACATTTTCATAATCAGTTTGAGAAGGTTCTGAGGGGTTTGTGGGTAACTGGACATTTTCATACTCAGTTTGAGAAGGTTCTGAGGGGTTTGTGGATAGTTGAGCAGTAGAGTAGATCATGAAGACTTCAGCATCTGACGTAGGAAGGTTTCTACTGTCTTTAATCTCTTCATAGTTATTGAAAAGATGGAAAACCTAAGAGCAGAGATATAAATAATAACAATGACAAAGTTTGTGCACTCAAAGAGTGTTTTTGAAGTGAACTACACTTTTTACTCCTGGTGGAGCAGTTAGACTGATGTGAAGTCAGGTAGTTTCAGTTTTCAGTCTTTAATTATTCATTCTTAAACATGTCATTGGTAGAAATGTTGTTTTCTGGGAGCCTTTTTTGAAATGGATCTTCACTCACCCTGTGGACAGCTGAGAATCCTTTGAAGGATTGGCCTTGTGTTGTGCCTGGGTCTGAGGAGAACCAATGTATACAATATCAATTACTTAAAAGATAAACAGGCTGTACAATTGCCCTGAAAATGCATTGACAGTTTGGTGATGCATGTTCATTTACAGCCAGAAGAGGGAAGCATCTCCTCATATCTGTTAGTCCACTGGCGCCTAATAAATGTGTTTAAGGATCCATTTATATCAAGATACCAATCTTGAGAGTGTGACCAAATCAGACTGAGCAATAAAACTACCGCAATATTAAGTTTAGCTCAGGTTTGTCCATTTTTGCTAGATCAATATTAAAATTCATAACTTGAAAGATAAACAGGCTGTACAACTGCACTGAAAATGTTATTGTTGTTGCTCTATTTCTTTTGATGCATGTTCATTTATAGCCAGAAGAGGGCAGCATCTGTCCATCACTGTTAGTCCACTGGGGCCTAATAAATGTGTTCAATGATCCGTTTATCTGAACATGTAGATTTAAAAAAATCCATGTGAAGTGTCTTGGGGAAACTAATAATATATCCAGCCACTGTCATAATTTGTCATAAATGAGCCCAACACGACATCTTTACTCAACATTGTTTCTATGGTAATTTTCTATAGTGAAATTAATAGTCCAAATAACTATGTGTGCATAGGTCCTGAGCATTTTATATACATGCATATTTCTGTGTGAGATGGTACCTTGAGTCTTGCCTCTCTTTCTAAGAATGACTATGAAGAATAAGAGTCCAATCAGAAGCAGCAACACAATCACAGACACACCAGAGACCACAGAGGAAACTGGAAATAGTGGTGATGGAGAAACAGAATCATAACTCAGTCACAAATTATAATCTGATCATTCTGAAGTGATCAGACTAACAATAGAAGAGCAGATGTTCTTTGCTTGTACATGAAGTGTAATCACCTGACAAAGAAGATGGTTTGGTCTTAGGCATTGAGGATGTGGTTGGTTTTGTGGTCAGTGCACTGATGTATGTCGATGACTGTGGTAGAATTTCTGCAGAAAGAAAGTAAAGGTCAGGCTGCCCTATTATCTGTGCACATTATTGCTGACTGACTACAGTTTAACAGGATATATACAGTATGAATATTACACCTGTTGAAGTTTTAAATGAGGATCTCATGGTAGTTGTAGATGTTGTAGAGGCATTTGTTTCTATGGTCTGTGCAGTGGGGCTTGATGGTGATGTTGAGGCTGATGCTGTTCCTGGTTTTGTTAATGGAGATGAAGTAAAAAGGAAAAGTAAAAGCTTTTCTAGATTTGTCATCTTATATTGTCATTAGATAACCCAAATCTCTTTATACAGAACAAACAATGTTCTACATAACATACTATAACCTCTTTCACCTCTACAATAATCACTTATTAATATTATCACAGCTTCCTTATGTCAGGGGTGTCCATTCTTACCCTCAAGTGGCCGACCTGGCTGCAGGTTTTCAGTTGTTTTGAAGACCAATCAACTGATTAAACAGGCTGAATAACTATAATGCTGTATACTTCTAACTTCCAAACTCCATAAATATATAGAAAAAAATTTCTGACAGTAAACAGATAAACTTGTCATATTTACTCACCAGAAACTCTGAGGTTGATCCGTGTGATATAAACCTTGTATCCATGGGCAGATGTCCAGTCTGATTCAGCTCCACACCAGTATTCACCAGAGTCTCCCTCAGTCAGACTGTTGATGCTCACAGTGAAGATCTGCTTTCCATCATCATGTAGATACAGTTTTCCCTCATTTATCCATTTTCTGCTCTCTTTAACAGATGTTTTATAATTACAGTCAGCAGTGTCCACTCTCCTACAGAGAAACTTGGGGTCATTCTTGTGGGATTGTGGGTATTTGCAGCTGATGTTCACGCTTCCTCCTACATGGCCAGTCACACTGATGCTCTTCTCATAGGACAGATCTGTCAATTATAAATAATCACCTTCACAGTTTATACACAATATCACTGAACTACTCACTGCATATTCTGTCACTTCTCTGGACGTCACACCTTTTGACTGAAAGTATTCTCAGATTATATTCATGAGTAAAGGATGTTGAGTCAGGAAGGTTGTCTATAGTTACTCTACAGCTTAACACATGAATTCAGAGGACATTCATATTCAGAGATGATAGAAATAGACTAAACAACTATAATTTAGAGACTAGATCTGCTAACATCATAGTGAAGGTCTCACAAAGTACATTTAACAAATGCCAAGCACTGCAAACACAATCTGATAATCACATCATCATCATCATCATCATCATCATCATCACACATGAACAACTACTGTATGTAAACACTTTTTCACAGCTGGGGTTAAAGCGGATTCACACAATCAGAGATGAGAAGGTCTGATAAAGAGTCTTTGAATAGACTGTGTTTGTAACACTACTGTTAATATAAGTATGTGTTTGTGTACAGTGCTGCAGGGAACACAGTTTCTGCTCTTGATGCTTTATGGGAGTTTGTACATTCACCCTCACTGTAGCTGATGTAAATGATGCTGGATGTTTAAGAAAATAAACAGATTTAGTGGTGGGAGAGACTCACCTTCCTCTACATTCAGTTCCGCTGGTGTGTAGATATCAATGCCAAATTTATCAACTCCACACTTGTACGTTCCAGAATCCTCTACAGTGAGCTCTCTGATCAACACCCAGAACTCTGCAGCTCTGGTGTCATCAAACAGTGAGAATCTTCCACTATTTATCCACTCATTTTTAGCGTCTGTCCAAATTGGCTTCGTCAGGCAGGGCCATGAACCCGTACAGAGGTACTTTGGGTTTGATGTGTATCCTGTGTCGTATGTGCACTTGATGAGGACTCCTCCTCCTGAATATCCTGTCACTCTCTCTGATTCTCCTCCACCTACTAAAAGAGGACAAATGTCCATCTAAGTAAAGGCTTCATTTGACTCTGCTGATAGTGATGTTTATTTAGAAGAGCGTCTCCTTACCTGAAATCAGGAAGAGGGTGAAGATGAGGAGGATCTTCATTCTGAGTTCAGGCTCACAGATCAATACCAGCTCAGACAGATATCAGAGGCCCTGCAAGTTGTTCTTTGTCTCTGTGAGATTCTGTGACTGTGCTGCACCTTCATCTGCGTCTTAAATAGAAACTGATGTCCTGCCCACTTCCTTTATTGACAGCGTGAAATAGAGAGCTGAAAACCTCTCAGCAAGATGATGTGTAAGATATGTATGATCAAAGTTTTATTATTATTATTATTATTATTATTATTATTACTACTACTACTACTAGGAAATGCTTTTAAATGCTTTCAGTGAAATTCACTGCACTAAGGTAAACAGTATTTTTGAGTTGTGTTGAAGCAGCTTCATGTTTTTATTCATTAGCATTTAACCTTTTGCCGTGTCTACACTACTGTTTAACTGTACTGAGGTATATGAGTCCATTGGATTTATATTTCTTGCAAATACGATAGGAACAAGAAAAAAGATCTCCTCAATATCGTGGATTTTCTCCTGCAGAACAGTGAGATTAGATGAAAAAACAAATGAAATCTTAGTTTAAGTCTCTCCTGCTGCTCAGATGTTTCTCCTCAGAAAAAGACCTCAGTAATCTTTCGTGTCCCACTGAGTTTTAGTAGAGATCTCAATAAAGTCACACATTGTGCTCAGATTTGCTGAGATAATGAAGTTCATGTTCATCTGCAGCTGAACTCTCATCTCTTCTTTTTGTCTAGTGTTATTTCTCATAAAGAAGCTTATTAGAATCACTTTGCATTTGGTCAGTAAAATTGTCCTCTGATGACTCCAGTTTAGCTGTTAGTGAATGAATATGTATGACTCCACTGTTGAATATTCATATTCATGTCATTGTTTCTTTACTGGTCTGTGTCAGAAGGACTCTACTGCCATCTAGAGCACAATGAGTGTAACAGCAGCACTGAGTAATCTTTATTGTCTTCTCTATGTAATACAAATGTGATTAAAGAGAGAGATTAATCACTTTATGATAAGTCAAGTCAAAGTTTATTTATATAACGCTTTTTTACAACAGGTGTTGTCACAAAGTAGCTTCGCCATGGCAACAGTGGTAAGAAAAAACTCCCTAAGAACAAGAGGAAGAAACCTTGAGAGGAACCAAGACTCAAAAGGGGAACCCATCCTCCTCTGGTCGACACCGGATAGCAAACAGCATTAGTTTAAAATATTACAATACAAAACGGGGGAAACAGGTGGAGCAATGATTAATTAAATAGTTTGAGTTCATGCAGCAGCAGCAGCATCAGGAGGGTAACAATAGTTAATAAGACATCTATTAGCTCTTACTTCACAACTGAGTAATAATCAGGTATTAAGAGTTATTCATCATCATTTAATATATACACATTACTTTACATGTATGTCGCTGCTGGATCAAAACCTTGTATCTCCATTTTTCCATTATTTAATTTTTGAAGTAATATGCTCTTTACATTGTGATGGATCATCATGATGGATGGATCAACAGAAATGGTCCAAAATTACTGAAATAAAATCGTTTTACATTAACTTCCACTGAAATTTTAACCTTTTCTTTCTTCTCATAAAAGGCACGATTTTGGGGATATGGTTATGGTTCAACAATATCAACAATATGTTAATGTATGTCAAATTTCTAATTGATGACTGCTGATTGGTTGTTAAAAAAATCATTGCAAACAAAACCTTAAATGGGTGTCACCAGACAAAGAAAATGCTAAATATTTAATTAGTTAATGATTAGTCAATTATGATATAACAGCTAATAGAAATGTTATAAACTATCACTTTTATAAAGCACAGATGCAGAAAGGAGTTTTAAATTGGAGGTGCTGAAATTTTAAGCTGCATATTTGTGATGTGAATGATGATGTCATGCAAAATGATTTGCTTTTTCATATAAATATTTTTGATAAATTACATTAAGTGTCTAATTATTACTTAATAAGCTATGTGGCCAAAATAATGTGGAGACCAATAAATCACACATATCTGAGTTTGTTGGACATCCCCTTTAAAAGCTATGGCCATTACTGTAGAGTAGCCCCCCTTTATGGCTATGACAGCCTCTTTCAGTCAAAAGAGCATTTGTGAGGTCAGGCACTGATGTTGGATGAGAGGGCCTGACTCACAATTGATGTCCCAGTTCATCCCAAAGGTGTTCAGTGGGGGTGTGATCAGGGCTCTGTGCTGGACACTGGAGTTCCTCCACACCAAGCTGGTCAAGCCATGTCTTTATGGACCTTGCTTTGTGCACAGGGGCTCAGTCATGCTGGAGCAGGAAAGGTTCTTCCCCAAACTGTTCCCACAAAGTTGGAAGCGTACAATTGTCCAAAATGTCTTTGTCTGCTGAAGCACTAAGATTTATCTTCAGTGGAACTAAGGGGTGCAAAGCCTTAAAAACAGCACCATCCCATTATCCCTCCTCCACCAAACTTTACTGTTGGCACTATGTATTCTGATAGGTAGTGTTCTCCTGGCATTCGCCGAACCCAGTTACATCCATCAGACTGCCAGATAGTGAGGTGTGATTAATCACTCCAGAGAACATGTTTTAACTGCTGCAGTGTCCAGTGCCGGTGTGCTTTACTCCACTCCAGTCGATGCCTGGCATTACACATAGTGATCTTGGGTTTCTGCAGCTACTCTGTCATGAAATCCCATTTCATGAAGCTTGTGATGCTCAGTTCTTTGGCTGTGACATCTTTTGCTGTGACAGGTTAAGTCACACAGTACATTTTTGCTTTAGTTTGCTTCATTGACATCAAACATTGTGACATACAGCATACAAACTTGTTCAGTGCAAAACACTAAACTTCAGTTGTTCTAAACATAATATTAACATTTTTCGATTGAATGTCCCTGTAATAAATATTTATCATCATATTTTCAAAATGCACTCTGTTATTTAACCTGGTGGGCTTGATTCTTTAGACTCTAGACAATTAAACTGTGCTGGTCTTCAGACTCTGAAAGACTGGATCTCATTGGTGAGTGGAGGAGTCTGGTAGACTGAAAGATTGATTACTGGGGGAGTCTGGTAGACTGATTCTGATTGGTTAGTGGAGGAGTCTGGTAAACTGATTCTGATTGGGATCTGTTAGACTAATTCTGATTGGTTAGTGGAGGAGTCTTGTAGACTGAATCTGATCGGTCAGTGGTGGTGTCTGGTAAACTGATTCTGATTGGTAAGTGGAGGGATCTGGCAGACTGATTCTGATTGGTTAGAGGAGGAGTCTGTTAGGCTACATCTGACTGGCGAGGGGGGGGTGGGTCTGGTAGACTGAATTTGATTGGTGAGTGGAGGAGTCTTGTAGACTAAATTTGACTGGTGAGTGGAGGAGTCTTGTAGACTAAATTTGACTGGTGAGTGGAGGAGTCTGGTAGACTGAATCTGATTGGCGAGTAGGGTGTCTGATAGACTAAATCTGATTGGTTAGTGGAGGAGTCTGGTAGACAGAATCTAGTTAGTGGAAGAGTCTTCTAGACTGAATCTGATTGCCGAGTGAGGTAGTCTGGTAAACTGATTCTGATTGGTAAGTGGAGGAGTCAGATAGACTGAATCTGAGTAGTGAGTGGAGGAGTCTGGTAGACTGAATCTGATTGGCGAGTACCAGACTCCTCCACTAACCAGTCGGATTTAGTCTATCAGACTCCTCCACCCGCCAGTCAAATTTAGTCTACCAGACTCCTCCACTCCTCTGGTAGACTGAATCTGATTGACGAGTAGGGAGTCTGATGGTAACTGAGCAGGAGAATAAATAGGATTTGAGAAATCACAGCTTGAGGGTAACTGGACATTTTCATAATCAGTCTGAGAAGGTTCTGGGAGGGTTTGTAGGTAGTTGAGCAGTACAGTAGACCGTAGAAGCTCCGGCATCTGAGACAGAAAGGTCTCTAATCTCCTCATATTCAGATAGAGAAACCTATAATAAAAATACAGGTAAAGCATTATTAATGAAAATTATAACAAGTCAAGTGTATTTAAAGTGAACCCAATTATTTTACTCCTTTTGGTGCATTTAAACCAATCTTTAGTTTCCCCTTTATGTGCAAGTGAGGTGGATCAATTTTCCAGTTATTGAGGATTCATTATTAAGCATATCATTGGTGGAATCTTGTTCCAGTAAGAACCTGCACTAACATACAGTTTTGACTCACCCTGTGGTCATTGGTGGAGCCTCTGAGTGATTGGCTTTTGGTTGAGGCTGGAACTGAGGAGAAACAATTCCAGAACATTCAATCAATCAGTTATGAAATGAGAATCAATTTGAATGTTGTGTAATGCTGAATAAACACCTGGTGATTAATTGGCAACAGGTCAGTAGCATGATTGGGTATAAAATGTGCATCTCAGAGAGGCTGAGTCTTTCAGAGTACGACAAAGGAGACCCCAAATTGTTGAGCAGCTGAAATCCTATGTTAAGCAAGAACAGGAAAACATTTCACTATCAAAACTACAGCAGTGTCTCCTCAGTTCCCAAACACTTACAGAGTGTTGTAAAAGAAGAGGTCACTGTTGTATCTTTGAGGGCACATTTATATTGGCTGTACCTTGATAAACAGACAATGTTCCTTTTTCTGACAGTGTGTGATAATTTTCTGTGAGTATAAACTCAAGCTCTACAAATCTCTGTATGCAAGGGACAAGGCCAAAACCCAGTATTTGGTGGCCATGATCTTTGGGCCCTCAGAGAGCACTGCATTAAAACCAGACATGACTCTGTACTGGAAATCACTGCATGGGCTCAGAAACACTTCTGAAAACCACTGTCTGTGAAAACAGTTTGTCGCTGCATCCGCAAATGCAAGTTAAAACTCTAAAATACAAAGAAGAAACTGTATATAAACAGGATCCTGAAATGCTGCCACCTTCTCTGGGTCTGATCTCATGTAAATGAACTGAGGTTAAGTGGAAATCAACATTTGAATTTTTTTTTGGAAATCATGGACACTGTGTCCTCCGCACTAAAGACCACTTGGCTTGTTATCAGTGCACAGTTCAAAAGCCAGTGTTCATGATGGTATAAGGGTGCATAAGTGCACACTGCATAGGTGACATGCACATCTGTGAAGGCACTATTAATGCTGAAATAACGTTGCTTTGGCAACATATGCTGCCATCCAGAATATTTCTTTTTCAGAGA